TGCCCTGAAGGATGTATCAAGCGGCTTCTGTGTCCAACCAGGTTGGGGGGGGTAAGGTCAGCAGAAGGAAATGTGACAAGGGTGGCGCTCTGGTGGGGACATGGCCTTGGGCAGCCTGACACACACCCCATTCCTCCCCTCCAACCCTGGGAAGGCAGGACTGGCTTCTGGCACCTAGCAGCAGCCTTGTAGAAAAGCCGGTTGCCTGCTGGTGGCTGGGCCAGGAGCAAGAAGGGTCATAGCCTCAGAGGCTGGAATGCCCCCCTCCCCCCACTCCAACTTTACAAAGCTTCCAGCTCCCATGAGGCTGCGTGTGTGTCTGTGTGTGTGTGTGTGCACGCACGCGCGCACACGCATGGCTCCTCCTCCAGGGAGTCTACCATAACTGCCTCTGCTCTGACCTGCTCCCAGGGTTGTGGGGAGGCACTGCCACCCTCCCTGAGCTCCCAGCAGACCTAGCAATTTATTTTTGAGAGCCCCACAGATGATGGTGATGTCTGGCTGGGCCAGCCAAGATCCTGCCAACAGGCCATGCCCAACCGGGTGGACACGCCTGGCACAGGGCGTGCCTTGGGGAGACACGAAGCCTCCCCGCCTGGGCCCCTTCCTCAGCCCTGTGGGCAGGGATGGGGGCACGCAGCCTGTGGGCTGCACTTCCCCTTCTGAGGCTGCAGGAACCTCAGCTTCCCCTCTGCAAGACAACAAGGTCCTGCTGTGCTCTGCACTGCCCCGGACACCCCAGGCGGGCCCGACACGCCTTACCCCGTGGCTCAGGGCCCCTCTCCTAGGCCATACCTCCCGCTGCTCTCCTTGCCTGTGCTGGGCACAGCCTGGCTAAGCCCTGCCAGCCTGCACAGCCTCCTGCAGGAAGTAGCCTCACCCCCCCACACCCCCCATGCCCTCTGACTCAGCAGCGGCAGGAAGTCCCTCTGCCCCTGCCACGCTCAGGGCTGGTGTCCTGAACTTCCCCTCCTCAGTTTCACCTTCCCGTCATCAGATAGGCCTGACATCCTGGTGACAGCGTGGCCCATCCAGGCCTGGCCGAGGGAGGCCACTGAGCCCCGGGGACCCTCAGATGGGCCGAGGCCCTGTCAGTCCCAACCACCATTTGCTTCAGACATGAAACCTGACCTCTGGGATTGGTCCCCTCATCTTGCAAAGCGTGGCTAAGGGCCATGATGAGAGGGCTGGCCAGGAGGGGGGGACACTGCCACACCCAGGCCCGGCTTGAGGCCCTGGGGAGCTCTGCCCAGCTGCCTAAGGCTTGTCCAAGGCCACAGTGGGGCCAGGTCTTGCTAGGGTGGTCCCCAGCCAGGCAGTGGGGAAAGGGGCTCCTCTGGCCCCCCACGAGGCCCCGGGGAGTAGAGTGTGTGTGCCTGTGTGGGACAGGGCAAGGCTGGCATTGTCCCAGCAGGCCAGGGGCTGGGACATATGGACATCACACCAGTAGAGGGGGCACTTTTCAACTGCTCCGCTTTCTGATGTGTTGACCACACCGAGCTAGGAGCAGAGTGGGGGGCGGCTAGGCACGGAGGTAAAAGACTTACTCCTCTAAAATGGGGGAGTCTGTGGCCCGGAGCCCACAGTGGGCGGCAAGCGGGGCTACCATAACTGGACATTTTGATCAAAGGCTCTATGGAAGAATCCTGATCAAAAGGGGGGTAGAATGTGAAACAGAACTTCAAAACATCATGGAAGCCAGATTCTCTGGAGTCATTGAGGCTGGATGAACCACCACATTGTTTTTTTTTTAATTGTGATCTGGGTAAAGGTTTAGAGAGCCAACTGGTTTTCCATTCGCCAGCTGATACATACTCTGATTCCCGACATTGATTGCAGTCCCCACAAGGTAACAGCTCTCTTCCCACTTCCTCCCCGTGCTCTGAGATGATCTTTAAAGCTTAAACCTTATCCCCCAGTCATCTTTCAACCACACGTAGTTCAGCTTCACTAGGAAAGATGCCTGTCCTAAGCCTCAGGATCTTCCCATGAAGTCTCCCCATGGGATGACATCGACAACAGCCACTTGGCAGGTCAGATGTGAAGCTTCGGGGCTGTGGTGGTTATGTTTGCGTGTCAGCTTGGCTGGGCCTGGCTGAGTGGCTGGGCAGCTGGATGTAGTGTTCCCCATGATGAGACTGGTAATCAGCTCCATGGTGGAATCTACTGGGAGCAGCTGAGAAGCTGCCTTTGGGTATGTGGTCTGCTTCCTGTATGTAAGGAGAAGTTTTGAGAATAGTCTCTCGCCTATGGCACGCTTGGACCTTGCATGTAGCCGTGTTGTTGTTCAGCAGCCTGCTATACTCTGCTGACCTTGGGATTTAGAATGGACTTAAGTTAATGGCCTTCCATATGGTTTGGTAACATCAGGACTGTGCCTTTTTGCTTGTCAACCTTGGGGCTTCTCAGCCTCAGCAGCCAGCAGCTGTCTGAGTGAAGAAACGCCTCTAGCTCCAGTGGGCCAGGAGCAGGAGGCAGAGCTGGACCCCAAGGTTGAGGGGCTTTTACCCAGCCCCTAGAGCCTGACACTTTGACTTGGGCTTAAAGCCTCCAAATTGTAAGAATAAACTCCTGTTTGTTAAGGCCGTCCCATTGGTGGTATATTCCTGTTAGAGCGGCACTAGGGAACCAGAAGAGGGGCACTGAGTGTGTGTTAACAGCAGTGAAAACTTCAGAGAAGATCTCAAGAAAGGTGGCACAAGCCGACTGTACCCGATCTCATGAATCGTATGGGGGGAGCGGTGTGTTTCCGTCACCAAAATTCCCCCCGGAGCCAGGGCAGGGCCAGCCTGATGGGGCTGCTGGGGCCCGGTTTGAGTAAGAGCCTTCTGACTGAGCAAACAGCTCGAGAGGAAGCGAGGGCTGCCCTGCGCTGCCAGGAAGGGTGAGCAGGGGGGACTCCCCAGCCGGAGGCCGCAGCGGCCCTGCCCCCACCCCTCCTGCCTCCAAGGCTTTATTTTCGGAAGACACGACACAAGGTGGCTTAAGGCCAGGACCTGCCACCAGGGCTAAGGGCCGGGCGGCTCACACGGTGGCCACCTGGGCGCTGCCCACCCTCAGACGGCTCCCACCCTCACAGCGAGGTCAGGGCCACTGTGTCCTTTACGGAGCCCACCCTCAGACGGCTCCCACCCTCACGGTGAGGTCAGGGCCACTGTGTCCTTCACAGACAAGGAGATGAAGCCCAGGGGTCAGGCCTTGTGTCATGAGGGATGCTGGCACCCCCTCACCGGCCCGCCAGCCCGGCTGCCTAGCCTTGGCCATCACCAATCCAAGCCTCAGTATCCCTATGTCAATGGCACTGAGGCCCCAGGCCAGACCCGCAGGGTCACGCCCTTTGAGGCAGGAGGCCCACAGTGGATCCACCAGCAGCCATCCCTGGGCCAGGATGGCTCCCAGCAGCCCCCAAATGCTAAAGGAAGCAAAGTACCCACCCACCATAGACCCCCGTGGTCACTGCCCAGGGGCGCTCGGGGCTGGCCACGCCCTCTCAGGCAAAACAGCGAATATTTTGATCCCAGGAACCCCTGGGTGGTGCCAACAGTTCATAGACCCTGCTGCTGACCGACGGGTCAGAGGTTGGAGCCGCCCAGGTGCACGGCAGCAGGCCTGGCAGACTTCTCCCGAAAACAGTCATTGAAAACCCTGTGGGGCGCAGTTCTCGGGGCCCACTGGGCAGCGACTTGATTTCTAACTGATCCCAAGCTTTGTTTCAACACAGCTCCTTTGGAAGGTGTCTGCCACCCTTCCCAACGTGGGTGCAGACAAGGTGGGTCTTCACCCCGTGAGGCCTTAGCTCCCAGCCCCCCCAGACACCTCTGGGTCTGCCACTCACACCCCACCTCCAGCCAAGACCAGGACCCCGGAAGTTGCCAAGGGCACTTTATTCAACGCAAAAGACGTCCCCGTGGCGACACCATGTCAATTCCCTGAGAACTTTCCTTTCTTGTAGAGCCCCAAGCTATGACTTTGTAAAAAGAGAAGAAAAAGCCCCCCACAAGCTAGGTGAGCCACAGGAGGGGGACTGGAAGAGACAGTGGGGTGAGGGCAGGAGCACTGCAGATACTGGAACATATAAATACAGGGGAGGCTGAGACGCGCCCATCTCAGCTTTAGAAATAAAGAGCATGACCCAAGGTTTGCTTTCTGCCTTTTCTGATCCACAGAAAATATAAAATAACACACCCCCTCCCCAAAAAACCTGGGAACACCCCCCGTTACCCACCCCCTTTCAAAATCCAACACAGTAAAAAATACTGTCAGAGTATTTACAGACACACCCACTGTGGGCGACACTTCTCTACTTGGGAGAGAAGATTAACGGCTCCCCGGGGGAGACAGAGGGGAGCCCCCCAGCCAGGTGGCCGCTGGGGCCTCTCAGGCCAGGAACTGGGGCATGGCTGCCCTTCTGAGCCGCAGGACCCAGGCCGGAGCTCAGGGGAGGACGGCTCGGGCCACTCCTCCCCAAACCAGCCTCCCTGACCCGAGCCTGGCTCGGCTGCCACGGCGGCTCCCAGGCAGGGGCCAGGGTCCTGGCGCTGAGCAGGAAGAGAGAGGCACCTGCAGGAGGCTCTTGGCCCCACTCTGCAGAGCAATGAGAAGAAACAACTGCTACCCTCCGGGTAACCGTGACACACACAACCTCCTGGCCGGGGCCTGCAGGCGGCAGATGCGTGCAAGGCAGCCATGTGGGTACCTCCGCTGGCTCCTCCGTGGAGCAGAACTGGCCAGCAGACTGCTACACAGATGGACACACAACACGCACACGTGTGAGCACAGCCCGGGGGAGCCTCGAATGCCGCGGCCAGGGCAATGCGACAGGGGTCCCCAAGCCCTTTGGATACCAGGGGTGCATGGGGACGGGGTCTTGGCCACGGCTGCTAGAAGGCGGCGGGGTGGGGACACCAGGGTGTGTCCGGGTACAGGTGGCAGTGGATGGAACGGAACCTGTGAAGGAAGTGAGGCTGGTCTGTGTGGGGTGGGCTCACAGGGGCACCTCTCTAGAGACACCCAGCTTCCCGTCCGCCAGCCCTGGTTCCGTACCTGGATGGGTCTGCCTCCACCGAGAAGGCCCCCTTCATGTGGATGGCATTCCGCTTGTTCTCAAACATGCCGTAGCTCAGTGTCACCTGAGGGGACGGGAGCAGAAAGGACAGGAGACCTTGGTCACATTCCCGGCAGGCGCCGACTCTGCCGGCGTCCCAGGGCCATGCTCCAGGCGGGCCATGGGGCCCCAGGGAGCCAACGGCCCTGCCCTGCCCTCCACCCCCCCCCCCCCCCGAGTCTCCATGTTGCCCGGGCCGCGCCCACCTGCTTGGCAGCATCTGTGAAGAAAGTCCAAAGTGTGGACTGTGGCTGGGCTGGGAGTGGAGCCACGGAGAGGCACAGAGTTCCCGTGAAAGCAGGGAGGACCCCGCTGCACCCAGGAGGCATGCCGTGCCCGAGATGCAGGACGGGAAGGGCAGACAAGCCAATGCAGACGGCCCGCCGGGTGGCAGGGTCTGGGTGACGGCACAGCAGCCGGCCAGGGGCCCTCTCCTGCCCTTCCTAGCCCCCCGAGTGGCTCTGTCCCAGACGTGCTGCCCACAACCCCCGCCGGGGCCCGGCTGAGTCCTGCCGCCTGGGGGACAGGCCCACCTGCTCGTGGAGCTCCGCGGCAGACACCTGTTGCAGGTTCTCCAGGTGGGAGTGGAAGAGGCCGCTGCGGGTGAGGGGCACGCCCAGCAGGGCCTCCACGATGTAGCCGACAGTGCAGTCGTCCGGCAGACGGATACGCTCGGCCGTGCTCAGGAAGTGGCCCCCACTGCCGAGGGCGGGGGGAGGTGAGCCGAGCAGGCAGACGGCCAGATGGAGGTGCGAGCCCCTTCCGGGAGCAGACCCAGGTGCCCTCTCCTCCCCTCTGGGAGTCACTCAAGGGCTCTGGGTACGGGGCAGGGTCCTGCCCATGGAGGCTGGGACGCACACGTGCTGGGGCGGAGCTGAGCCAGCCCTGCCGGAGGGTCCCGGGGGCACTCACCTGGCCCAAGGGCTCATCTTCAGGGCCAGCCCACGGCTGATGCAGAAACCGGCCCCCCCGGTGGCAAACCAGAAGTGGACGGGACGCTGGCAGGGGGCGGGGAGGGGGACAACACGCACTGTGAGACGCTGCTGCTGCGCCCCCGGCCAGCCCCCCCCCAGGCCAAGGACACTGTCGCCAGCCCCTCCCACTCGGCAAAGCCGCAGGCTTCCAGGCAACACTCACCACCTCGCCCTCGCCGACCCGCTCTGTGGCCTGGATGGGCCGATCCAGGCTGGGCTTGCCCAGGTAGACATCCTGTGTGTGAGGGTAGCTGGCCAGCAGCCTCAGCAAAGCCCTCACGTTCACGTAGTTGTCATCGTCCACGTGACAGAACCACCTGCGGGCGAGCCAGGGTGTCGGGGGTGGGCGGGGGGGAGGTTCCAGGGTGCACGCACAAGCACGTCTGTATGTGAAAATGCGCGAGTGTGCACATGGGCAACCATGTCAGTGTGTGCATGTGGGACTTCATACATGTGCACGTGTGTGCACACGGGAGTGTGTGCACGAATGTGACCGCAGGAGTGGGTGCATGTGCGTGTTTGTGCAAGTGTGCACCTATGCATATCAGTGTGTTTCATATGAAAAACTGGGTGTTTGTATGAACATGCAGGCATGTGTGCTATAGGTGATGGCATGTGTGCACATGCAAGGTGTATGTGCATGTACATGTGCATGTGTGTGTGCAATCCCGTGCATGTGTGCACATGTGCGTGCATGCACACATGCCTGTGTGCGTGCATGCACATGTGCACGTCAGGGCTCCCTTGAAGCCTGGCACTCACTTCCGCCCCGACTCGATGAAGCGGTCATACTCCACGGCCATCTTGCAGGACAACGCCTGGCGGCTGTGGGCGGCTGAGCAGTTGGTGTTGATCACGTTGTCTGTGGACCAAGGCAGACGTGAGTGGGTCTGAGGGGGGCTACAAGGGGGTGGCCTGGTGGGCTCACACAGTAGGGGCCTCCCCAGCCCAGGTGTGAGGCCTGGGGACCCCCAGCACAGCCCCCTCCACAGGGGCCACTCCAACCCTGTCCATTCAGGCAGATTTTTTCCCAGCGAGGCCACCTGTTGCTGCCTTAGCGGCTCAAAGGGACCTGGGGCTGAAAGGGTCTCATTTGCATGACAATTGGGGGAGTGGTGGGGCGGGGAGTTGAGCAAACCCCTGAGTAAACTGCCCTGCCAGCCCCGTGACCTCAGCAGGAGGTAGGGGGCCAGGCCACCTCCTCGTCCACACTCACCCGTGTGTCTGGCCAGCACCTCGTCTTCCCCATCCGTAAAGATGAAGGTCTGGAAAGAGAAACAGAGCCTTGGCGGCAGCCCTGATCCCCCCTCCGCCCACCGCTGCTGGGGGTGTCCACTAACCTGGCCTCGGAGTGGGGTTCAAGTCTGCACTGGGAGGAAGCCGTCTACCGTGTTCACTCACCCTCAGGGGGTTGGGGCCTCACCTGCTTCCCTCAGCCTCGTCCCTGACAGCTGGGCCCAAGATCACCCAGGCAGCTGCACCAACACGAGCCAGGTGGGTCCCCCTGCCTCCCGCCCAGGTAACACACTCCCCACTGCCCTGTGCACCTGGTGGGGCACACACCCTTATTGACACAGCGCCCAGCCCGGAGGCTGGGGGGGGCGGCTGGGGGACAGGCGGAGGAGGTCCGGCTTTGGGAAGCCAAGCCTCAATCAGTAGGGGCAACAAAGGCCTTTCCTGGGTGGCTGCCAAGCCCGGGGCAGACAAAGGGCTGGGAGAGAGGATGGATCACCAGGCATGGGCCGGGCTTTGTCCTGGTGGCCTTAACGAGGCCGAGTTAATCGGGAGTGGCCCAACTGCCCATTACCATACAGCTGGCCTGGTTAACCGGTCCTGCGGGCAGGGCTGTGGCCACCAGCACTGCCTGGTCCCCTCCGGGCGGCGCGGCCAGCCCACAGGTTCCCCTCTCTGAGCCCAAGCAGCCTTTCTGCTCTTCGGGGTAGCCAGTGGTCAGCAGGCTGGGGGACCTCTCACACCCCTGGCCCCCAGCTCACACCCTCCCACTGAGCAGCAAGAAATCCGGCAGGCAGGTCGGCCGGCCCTACCCAAGGCCACATCCAAGGCCACATCCGGGCTCCACCTGCCCCAGCACCAGGCCACCTCTGCCAGGATCCCTCCTCGGAAGAGGCCAGGGCCAGTGGGGCAGGGCCAGGAGCTGCCGGCGCCCGCCTGGGCCCGTCAGCACACGGGCAGGAATGCTCCCCCCCCCGCCCAGCCCGCCCAGCACGTGCCACCCGGCACACCCTGGCATGGCTGAGCGAGGGGCCGGGCGGGGGTCGCCCCGAGCCAGGACAGCCCGCTGGGCCTCAGTTTCTTCCCGGGGAAGACCCTCCCCTGGCAGCTCCAGCTGCTCACCTGTCTGACCCCAGAAGAGGGCCCAAGCCCGGGGGGGTGGCGGGCTCACTCTGCACCTTCTCCACACAGGCCGGCAGACACCCCCAGGCGGCCACACGCACAGACTCGCAGGCAGCCCCCCGCCTGCGCCCCGACATCAGCCCAGGAATGCCGTGGGAGGCGCGAGGCCGGCCCGAGCAGACGCACCGCGGCCGCCGCGGGACCAAAAGGAAGATGCCTTCTTAATGAGCTCAGGCGAGGCCGGCCCCCGCTCTCCCGCGCTTAGCTGGTGCCCTAAAAACGGAGCCCAGGGCGACGGAGATTACAGTCACCTTTGTTCCTGCCAGGCTGCGGGAGGCGGCCAGGAGACAGGCACCCGGGAGGGCGGGGCCGAGGGCTGGGTCTCCTGTCTCCCCAGCACACAGCCGCCTGGAGAGGGCGCAGGCCGCCCCCAGCTCAGCCTGCTCTGTGAAACGGGTGCGGCTGGCATGCCCACGTGCCCAGAGCAAAGTCTCCCCTCTCCTCTTGTAACAGCCCTGGAGGGAGCCCCCTTTACCCAAGTTGTACAACGTGGGAAACTGAGGCCTGGACAGCCTCCTGCCTTGCAGAGACCAGCACCCCAAGCCCTGCCCCCTGCTTCCCCGACAAGCTGGGGGAGGAAGAGCGGGGGCTGCAGGGCGCAGGCTGGCCGAGGCGGGCGGGCGGGGGGGACACCACAGGAAGCGGCATTGTTCCTGGAGCCGCGATTCAAAGAAACACAGGATGCCAAGCACTCCCCCCACCATTGTGGCGGCCTTGGTGGCAGTGGCTGCAGCCTGGCCACCCTGGAGGGGGCGGGGAGCAGCATGTGGGCCAAAGGCCCAGCTCCTCAGCCTGGACTTCAAGGCTGGCCGCAGCGTGGCCCTGCCAACTGCTCCTTCCCTCAACTGCTGCATGTCCTTTGCACAGGCCCCAGGCCCACAATGCTCCTTCCGGGCATTTCCAACTGCTGGGTGCAAATGGTGCCTCCTCCAGGAAGCCCTCCCTGGCACCCCATTCCATGGGTTAGATGCCCACCTTCAGTTTAAAGTCTCTCTCCCCCATCAGACTGGGTCTCAGTCACCCTGGGGTTCCTGGAAGGAGGTTCCTTTCCTGGGACAGTTTCAAGGACCCCTCCCCACAGTGCGATGCAAGAGCCAGCCTGAGGCTAGAGGCAGGTTCAGCCTCTCTTGGGTGGGGTGAGCTGGAGAGGAAGAAATAGTGGCTCCTTGGGACCCCAAATGGAGTGACAGCCTCCTAACCCCAACCCGGAGCACCTGTGGGCCCACCCCTATGCCCCCAGGCTTTGTCAGTCTTCTAACAACACCCTACGGAAGCACCAATTTCAGAGAAGAGACTGAGCTCAGAGAGGCCTCCAGTCTTCCCCAAGATCACCCAGCACAGCCGAGACTGGCACCCAAGACCTCCTGACCACATCCCCTCTGCTGGAGAAAGTCCCAAGAGACTAAGATGAGAGCTGGTGGCAGCGCACAAGGAAATGGACACTGTCCAAGGTCACCCATAGGGAGGCAGAGCTCTGGGGAACCCGGCTCAGGGATAGTGCCCCACAGGGGCTGTCAGTCAGGGATGTGGGGGGCCCCTCAGGCCCCTCATCGCCAGGCAACCTGAGTGGCCAGCACGCCGGCGGCGGTTCCCATGGAGCACAACGCCGCACACAAGAGGCCGGCCGGAGAAAGGGGCTTTGTTACCTTGCCCAAGGGGCCGGCGTGAGAGCCGCCCAGCGCTGGGAATCCTAACGGCCCAGCCGCCAAACAAAACCCGCGCCCACCACCCCGCCCGCAGCCCGCAGAGCCCCTGGGAAAGGGGCGCTGCGTTCCCAGGAGGCTACATGGTGTTCCCAGGCGTCCCCTCCCAGACCAGAAAGGACCCTACCCTGCAACCCTACTCTGCCCTTAAGCAAAGCTGCCCCGGGTCTTCGGGGTCCGCATGAGCAGGGAGGTATGGGGGTCTTTCCTGAGCCCTCCGTCCCCCGCCTAGAGGTCCCTCACGTTCACCCCAAATGGCCAGCGAATCTGCAAGGCCTCCAGGCCCAGGGTGCTGCTCACTGTCGCCCGCCCACCGGCCCTGGCCTGCCCATCCTGGCCCAACGGCCCGCTGCAGCCTCGAGGCAAATTTTCAAAATGGGGTGCGTCCTTTGTCATGTGTGTGGGGGGTCCTGCTCAGTGGGGGCTTTACAAAGGCAGGGCTCGCGGCCTCAGGGCTGCACTCTGGGGAGGGTCAACCAGACACCAGAAACCCAGTGAGTGCCCTCTTTTTTCAGAGGTCCCGCCCAGCACCCCTAAAACTCTCCAGGCCCGGATGAGCTTCAGCTGTGTCTAGGTCCCCAGAGCAAAGCCTGGGAGGGAGAGGGGCCCGGCACTGTGCCCAGGGTTCCCCGCCCTTACTTCATCTCTAAGGGCTTTGAGTCCGGGGTGTTGACCATGACCCAGAGCTCCAACAATGCCCACACTGGGGCCCATGCAGGATCTACACGGGGAGGTTTGGGAACACTGACTGACACCCCATCACTGTTCCGGGGTCATGAGGCGTCACAGCAGAACTGACTTCAAGCACTGGGGGCTTGGGTAGGGGAGCCCACCCTGTCCATGGCTCTGCAACTTGGAGGGGTGACATGGCCTCAGCAGGCCAGCTGGGCTGGCACTCCACAGCGTCACTGTCCCCTCCAAGGATTTCCCAATGGCCAGAGAGGCATGCAGCCTGGTCACCCAGGGGGCACTGCCAGCAGCAGGACCGGCGGCGCGTCTCAGCCCGGCCCGCCCGCCGCGCTCACCATCTCCTTGTGGCGCGAGATCCAGGTCTCCAGCAGCAAGTCGAGGCGCGCGCGGTGGAACTTCTTGGTGGTCTTGACCGCGATGAAGACGTCGCGGGGCCCCAGCGGCTCCGCCGGGGGCCGCGGGGCGCCGGCGGCGGG